TCTAAATTCATATCCAGAAAATGACTACTTTTCACTCTATATTATACTTTAATCTTTTTTAACTAAGGTAAAATCTATAACATAAAACTAGCCATTTAATGTTTACAACTCAGTGGTATTTACTACAATTATAATGTTGTGCAATGACCCCCTCAATCTAGTTCCAAAGCACTGTCATATCCACAAATTAAAATCACAAGCCTATTAAGCAATCACTTAAGTCACGAACTTGGCTTCTGTCCTTATGGATTTGTCTATTCTGGATCTCTCAAATGGACAGAGTCAACGATATGCAAGTTTTATGTCTGGTTTCTATGACTTAATAGTTTCGAAGTGCACACTGCAGCATGTACTAGTACTTCATTCCTTTTTAGGCTGAGCAACACTCCACCATATGTAAGTATCACATCATTCATTCTCTATTTTTTATTAGCATGTATTAATTATACATTTAATTGGTTTCATTTTGACATTTTCATAAAGTATAAAATGTTATTTATGTCATATTTATTCTCTATTACCCTCTTTTTAAAATTTTTATTTATTATTTTTATTTTATGCGTATGAGTGTATTGCCTTCATGTATGTAAGTGCACCCATGTCGTGCAGTGCCCATGGAGGTCAGAGAAGAGGTTGTTGGATGCCGTGGAGCTGGAGTTACAGACAGTTGTTAGCTACCATGTGGGTTCTGGAAACCAAACCCTGGTCCTCTGTAAGAGCAATCCATGCTCTTAACCACTGAGCCATCTTTCCAGCCCCTCCATTACCCTCTTTTGTCCCCCTCCAACTCCTACTGATCCTGTTCCTCTTCCAAACTAGTCTCCCCTACTTTCGTGTGTGTGTGTGTGTGTGTGTCTGTGTGTGTGTGTGTGTGAAACAAAGAGTAATTAAGTAAACATAAACAAAGAGTATAATTAAGGTTGTTAGAAGAGCATGGGTTATTCATATATTTATACTTGATGGCAACCCACCATTATCTTATAAAAGCATCCTGCTCAGGTGCCCTACTTTTATTCTATTGCACAGCTGATTCTCAACAAAGTAGCTAGGGTGGCTCTTTTGAAAATCTAAATTAGACTGTTTTAATTCTCTGCTTAAAACCCTCTATCGAGCAACAACTAAAGCTCTGTCATGACCCACAAAACCCTAAATGGCCTTGCCCCCAGTTATTCCTCCAACCTCACCTTGAACACCACTCTCCCTGTTTATGATACTCAGACAGCTTCTTGCTGTTCCTGGAAAATGGCAAATTTAGTCCCTCTGTTGTTCACTGTTTCATTTGCCTAGAATGCTGAGCCTAGTTATCTGTATAGTGAAATCACAGACCTCCCTAGGGATCTGCTCAAAATGCTGTCTCATCAGGAACATTATCTTCTTACCACCCTAACTACAGGTCCCATCCCTGCTCCTCATCACTCTTTCCACTTACCCTACTTTGTTTTTTTAAAATCATACTTATCGTACCTAAAATATCACACATCTGTGAACTTGATTACTGTTGTGTGTCCCCTAGATGTAAAGGTGCTGTCTTGTCTTGTCTTGCTCTTCCTGTCCTCAAGTCTAGAACCCTGCCTGGCAGGTAGTAGATAGTAGGGGATGAGTGAACACAAAAATGAATGCATTCTCAACAGTTTTAACCATGGGTGATGGGATAGACAATGTTACCAAAAACAGGGTGAGGCTGTACCTCAGTGGTAGAACACTTGCCAACAGGCACAAAGCCCTGGGTTTGATCCTCAGCATTGAAGGAAAAAAATAATATAAGATTTACCACAAACAAACAAAAAAACATGATTTTGGTGAAAAGTCTTTAAGTTTAAAATGAATTACAATTAGGTAGGAATAAAAAGATTGTGACTTCCACATAGAAGGGGAGTTGGTAAGATCACATCCCTTACTGTAACTGGCACAGGAACCTACTTTAACTCAAGAACAGTGAAATAAAGGTAACAAATGATATCTTTATTCTAATAGGGGTTTAGGTATTTACTATCCTAAAAAAGAATGATTATATTTTAAGCATTACTGGTTGTCAGGGCAGAGGCTGAAATGTGTCATTTAAATCCTCTGTACCACCCATTCCTTGTCTGTAACGCATCACTCCATCTTAACCAATGAATTAAGATTGTTTCTGTATTTCAGCACCAAGAAGAAAACCTTCCTTGTAGCATCAATCTATACCTTCTTATATCCCACAAGCTTAAAAAGTGGGATGAAAAATATATACTTGCCTATGAGGGAAGAAAAAACACACAAGCATGCATACATGCACACAGGCACACATGCACAGGGGGATTTTAAAAACCACATGTATAAGCTTAATCTGAAGTCAACTGCTGTGATAACTTACTAAAATCCTTAATTAAGAACTGTCTTTCTTCTCTACACTGCCTCATGAGAGAACCTCATTTCTCTACACTGCCTCTGCCTGTATCTCTACCTTTCTATTTTTTTATTCTCTTCAAACATGTCCTGATTTACCAACCTCAGAAATGTTACTTCTATAAAAATAAAAGCAACAAATCGTACCTTTATTCTAATACGGGTTTAGTTATTTTATTCTTTTTAAAAAATATTTTAAGCATCACTGGTTTTCAAGGTAAACCATAAAATCTTTTTACTTTTAACACTGGAAAGTATTTGTATTTATATTTAAGTTATCTTACCTGAAATACTTTCTGATTGTCTTCGAGGCTTCACAACAAGTTTCACACCCCCTCCAAAAACAGCAGCCCACATTCGATTATTTAATGGGTGGGCTGCAAGCCGAAACAATTCATTGGAGGAATTTGTGGCGAGAGCATGTATCAGTAAACTTAAGTAAACAGCAACAACAGCTTCACACAACAGAACATTCAATTTTGGTTGGTCTTCATCTTGGGCTGAACTCAAGAGATTAATAAGCGAGCTCACACCTATAACAAGTATAGAATATCATAAAACCATCAGTATAAAGCACAAGGGAAAAAAAGCACACAAATCTATGGCTTAACCAAAACTATGTATCTATATCCCATAAAATAGTATTTCTATAATTTTTTGAACAACAAAATAATCTATAAGATAAAATAAGAACTTACGAATCCATATGGATATAAAAGGGTCAATTTATAAACTGAAAGGAGACAGGGAAAGTCTTCCTCACAGTAGAATTCCAACTAAAAGTAGGATGGCAGGTTAGAAAATTCCCCGCTGCTACTCCACAGTCCCATCTGATTTGGGCAGGAATTAACTGGGTATGAAAAATGGGTATTATACATAATTTTGTGCTGTTGCTTCAAATGATACTAATTGTGAAGGAAAAAAGCAGTAACTTTATAAAGGAAAACCTGACAGAAACTACTTTACCATGTAATCAAAGCTAACAGCACAAGTTAACAGCAGTTGACATCATGTACGTCTAGATACTCTGCAGTGAGAAAGGTGGATATTTTATGATTTCTGACAAAAAATGTATAACCTGAATGTAAAATTAAGAAAAGTCATAAAATCCAAAATTGAGTGTCAATCATTAAAATTACAAAATCTTTGTGATAGTTTGAATGAAAATGTCCCCCATAGGCTCCAAGTATTTGGACATTCTGTCCCCAGATGATGGTGCTATTTTGGGAGGTTTTAGAAGGTGTGGCTATCCTGGAGGAAGCACATCACTGGGGTGGGCTTAGAGAGTTCTTAAACCTTGCCGGATCTCCAGTTGCTCTCTTGCTTCCTGTGCCTGTATGATGATGTGAGAGCCCAGCTTCTGCTGCTCCTGCTCCAGCCACCTCCAGCCACCATGCCTCCCTGCCATGACCACCTGTAATTCCCCTGGAACTGTAAGCTCAAATAAACACTTCCTTCTATAAATTGCTTGGGTCAGTGTTTCTATCACAGCAACAGAAAAGTGACTAATACAATCTTCAAAAGTGTCAAAGTCAAGAACAACAAAGAGAGAGCCAGCCAGGCATAGTGGTACATGCCTGTAGTTCCAGCACTCAGGAAGCAGAGGCAGGATTGTGACTGAGACCAGCCTGAGCTGGAATGCTGAGCAGGACTGTTTCAAAACTCCCAAAACAGAAAAAAGAAGCAAAAGGGCTGGAGTGGTGGCTCAATACTTAACAGCACTGGGTGCTCCTGCAGTAGCATGGTAGTTAACAACTGTTACTCCAGTTCCAGGGGATCTGATGATCTCTTCTGGCCTCCAAAGGCATTGCACAACAACATGGTACACTTAAGATGCAGACAAAATGCTCATCAAATGTAAAATAAAAAATAAATCAGAAGCCGGGCATGGTGGTGCATGCCTTTAATTCCAGGGCCTGGGAGGCAGAGGCAGGCAAATCTCTGTGAGTTCAAGGCCAATCTGGTCTACATATCGAGTTCCAGGCCAGCTAGGAGACCCTGTCTCAAGACCAAAAAAAAAAAAAAAAAAAAAAAAAAATCAGAGCCAGGCAGGCAACGGTGGCACATACCTTTAGTCCCAGCACTTGGGAGGCAAAGGCAGGCAGATCTGTGAGACTAAGGCTAGACTGGTCTACATGGCAAGTTTCAGGTCAGCTGGGACTACAGAGAGACATAATTAATTAATTAATTTTTTAAAATTTTTTTTTAAAAAAGGGGGCAAAAATGGGCAGGAGGGAGGAAGCAGGGGAAGGGAAGGAAGAGGAGGGAAAAGGCAAATGGAAAGAGAAAGGGAAGGAAAAAAAAGGGACATTTTAGTCATTCAAGAAGACTGTCATAATGAAAGCTGCCAATTTAACATATCTGGGAAGAGGGAACCTTAATTGAGGAACAGTCTCTCTATCAGACTGGCCTGTGGGCATGTCTGTGGGGTATTTTGTTTACTGCTAATTGAGAGGAGAGCTCAGGCCACTGTGGGTGGTGCTACCTCCTGGGCAGATGGTCATGTGTTGCATAAGAAAGCTAGCTGAACAGCTGGAGAGATTGCTCAGTGGTTAAGAACACCTGCTGCTCTTGGAGAGGACTCCAGTTCAGTTCCCAGCACCCACATGGACAACTGTCTGTAACTACAGTACAAAGGGATCTAATGTTCTCTCTGGCCTTCGCAGGCACTGCATGTATGTGGTGCACATACACACATATATACATACATACATGGAGGCAAAACACTCATACAAATAAATTAAGAATAAATCTTAGAGGGAGGGAAGGGAGGGAAGGGAGGAGGGAGGGAGGGAAGGAAGGGGAGCAGAAGCAGGAGGAAACAAGCTAGTAAAAGACCATTCTTCCATGGTCTCTGCTTAGTTTCTGCCTCCAGGTTCCTGTCTTGAGTTCCTGTCTTGGTTTCCCTCAAGTGTAAGATGAAATAAACCCTTTCCTCCCCAAGCTGCTTTTGGTTAGTGCTTCATCACAGCAACAGAGAAGGACAAAGACTAATGAGACATTATAGGTTAAGTGTTACATGGACCTGAAAAAAAAAAGACATCAGTGGGACAACAGTGAAATTGGGAAAGGTCTAGATTAGAAAACAATAGTCTATCAAGATTAAAATGTTAAATTTGATAACTGCATTGTGATTACATGTGACAATATCTGTTTTTAGAAGAAAAAACAGTGAAATATGCCTACAATTCAATCACAAATATTTCATTAAAAATACCTTTAGATAGTCACACACATAGAAAGTAAAAGAGGAAGCCAGGTGTGGTTGTACATGGTAGCTATACAAGAAAAAGAAATTTCTTTTTAAAAAAGATGGAGGGCTGGGCGTGGTGGCACATGCCTTTAATCCCAGCACTTGGGCAGCAGAAACAGGCAGACCTCTGTAAGATAGAGGCCATCCTGGTCTACATAGCGAGTTCCAGGCCAGCTGGGGCTACAGAGAGACCCTGTCTCCAAAAAAAAAAAAGGCAACAAAAATGAGAGTGCCTTGGGACACAACTCAGCAGATAAGGTGCTTGCTGCACAAGAGAACCTAAGTTCAAATCCCCAAAACCCATACAAAGCCAGGAATGTTAGCCTGCAGTTCAGCCAGCCAGGCATACACAGCAATGAACAACAAAGAGATCTTGTCTCAAACAAGGACCAATACCCAAGGTTATCCTCTGAGCTGTACACACACACTATGGCAAGTGTACCCACAAACCAGCACAAATTTTTTTTTTTTAATTACAGAGCTGGTGAGATGCCTCAGTAGGGAAAGATACTTGCTGCTAAGCCTGACAGCTTGGGTTCAATCCCTGGGACCCACAGGGTAGAAAGAGAGAACTGACTCCTACAAGCTTGTCCTCTGACCTCCCCACCTGTGCCATGGCATATGTGCCCCACCTCCCCCAGTCCCAGTAAGTAAATA